AAAAATGTGCTGAATAAATACAGTGTGAGGATTATATTATTATTTCCCTCAGAATGGCACTTGAGAAATTTGAATTAAACTTTTTAAAATAGATTTTAATTGTTAAATAAAAGTGTTTGCCTTGCAGATACTACTCCTCGCCTGTAGGATGTGCTGTCCTCTCTGAAAAAATGATTGTTTCCAGCAGATGATAATGTTTGGAGACACATATAGATCTATATTAGGAATAAATATGAAATTGCTGACATTATAATTATTTCGTATTATATTATAGTATTATATAATACATCATATTTCACCCCCTTGCCTTTGCTTGCTTGTTGGTTTGTATGTTTGTTTGTTCTTAAACAGGATTACTCAAAAACTATGAGACGGATTATGACGTAACTTGTTTCAAGGATCCAGGAATTGTTTCTAACTTTCTTTAAGAAAGATGTTTTTGATTTTATTCACAGATTTCCAGGGAATATTCATGGCTCATAATGAAAAGGTGTGTTTAGAAGACTGAGTGTGTTCAATCCAATCATAAACATGCGACACATTAGCCTCGAAAGCACCTCGTTGTAGTGATTGAAAGTCGCCCGCTAATTGCATTAGTTCTGTTAAATCACTGTGTGGTTGCGGACGAAAGTTGTGTCTCCGGTTGCGTCGCTGGCGTCTGTCCTGGCAGCGGCTCTCTGATTGATAGGCCTGAGCACAGAGGGGCAGTGGGAGATGAAGAGAGGTCTGATAGCGGGGCCGCTAGATACTCCCTGATTCACTGTGTGTCAGATACTGATAACACGCCCGCGACTCCGAGAGAGAGAAAGACAGAGCGAGTGTGTGAGCGAGGCAAGAAGAGAAATAAGGGCATAAATGAGGAAGAGGAGAGGAAGGAAGAGGAGAGGAAAAAGAGATGCTTCAGATGTCGCCTCGGAGGACGGTGTAGAGTATTTGATTTCGGCCCGTAGCTTATTTCATCACACTGACAAATCGAGGTGTGAGGCCCATTGCTCTCGACTTCACGTTGTCAGGCGGACAAGCCTCCTCAACACACGATCTTCCTCCTTCGTCTCTCCTTTTGGACTCTTCATCACTCTTCCTCGTCTGTTTTTGCTCCGTCTCTATCAATCTGTGTGTGTTGTCCTGGTTTTTATTAATAACTGTCTGCAGGAGATGAAATAAAGGGCGGTGTGTTTTTCATGTGCTTGGCGTGGTCACAGTGCTGTCACTGTAATGTATGTCTTCCGATAGCACTTTGAGGGGGGAGAAAATGGCGTGCACCTTCCTCTCCTCTTTCAGCGGCTTCACTGTATCAATAGCATCACTCTTCTCACCCGCCTCCCGCCCCTTTCTTCTTCCTCTCTCTCTCCTCTGTCGCAATCTATCCACTTTCCCATTTTTTTCCTCTCAGATGCCTCGGCCTTATCTATCCATTTTATCTCCCTCCAGTTTTCGGCGCCATTTCTCCTCTTCTGCGCCTGTCGCTCATCCTGGTGTCACCAGGTTTTCTGTCGCCGGGGGGGGGGGGAGGGCGACCCAGTCAGGAGGTCAGCGATGATGCATACGTGCTCACAAATGTACTGTACAGGGCGCCTGATGGTCACGAGTCATTTAGTTTTCTCAAAGAGTTGACACATACCTGTCCATCACTCGGGGACGATGCCACTCAGACATGCGGCCGATGCTCAGAATGCACGAGGCATGCATTCCCCAAATACCTCATACCTGAGCATGTGTCACATGTTCATCATCCTCACGCAACGGGGACAGTGACCATGTGGTTGCGACCTCATGACTTCTTACCCGTGTGTCATCATCTCAACCTTTGCGTGACTCTACCTGTCTGGTGTCTGCACGACTATGTGTGTGTGTGTGTGTGTGTGTGTGTGTGTGTGTGTGAGAGTCGTCTTCTTCCAACAAATTCATTTCCAGTAAAATGTAAACTTTCCCGTAGCGCCCCTGCAGATTTAATTCATTACATTACGGCCACAATCGGCTCTAAATGGAATAAGAATGCGCCGGTGGTCGAAGCATGCAGCCTGCGTTGCACACACAGCTTGTGGGGGCCAGGATTTATTAATTCAAAGGTACAAATTATAAGTTCATAGTCGTTCAGGAAATTCAAGAAATTATCCCGATGCCTTCTGGGATTTCTACGTTACGCAAACACAAGGAATGGGGCATATTTTTCCCGACACCTACAATGAATACGTACGTTTACCTGCACTCATACTGAAAATGGAAGCACTGGGGTGTCTACTGTGTTTTTTAAGATTCAGTTTTGTTTCAAATTACCACTTTGGCGGACAGGGTCTATACGGAGACTGAATCTGGTCCTGGATCAGTAGATACGTGTACAAGTCATGTAAACAGTATTTTATGAGTAACTCAACCTCAATATAACCAATAATCAAATGAACACATGTGGAGTACACAGTATTAATCACATTTAAACATCCTGCTGGAGTTTTCACAGCATTTTGCGACGGTCACTAACTGACGGGTTTGAGTGTCAACAAGTAGAAGGACATTATGTTCGCATGAGTCATAATCAGATTACGCTCTGTAACATGCATGAATGGAATATTTCTAGTGGCATGTCATGTAAACATTAAAATAATCAGAATCATATTTGTTTTTAAGGGGAATCTGTTGGATTAGCAATAAAACAATAGGCCACAGCTCAGTTTCCCAGAGTTCATAGTGAGGAAATACATCCCCGTTGATATGTTTGAAAACTAAATTTAAATCTGAGCTCGAGACGACTGAACCAGTAAAACACAGACGTTCATAAATCGTCCTCGAGATCATTTTAAAATATTCCTTTCTAGCACCTGAACGCCTCGTACAGGTTCTGTTATCTGTCACCAGGAAGAAGAAGCCGCTCTGTGGTCTGATCCTGTTGAAATGACATCTGATGACAAACCAGCTGAGATTATGATTTTAAACGTTTCATTGAGAAACCATTGTGCTGAGCTTATAGCTGCTGCGTGGACTCTGGACTGATACTGATTTTCCTTCTTATAATATGACTTTGGTAATCACATGGACAGAGACAAACTCACACACACACACACACACACACACACAGGGGGATTTCAGGATGTGCATTCATCTCGTGCTTTAAACCACTTAAAGTGCAGCAGTGGTCTGAACAGCTTGTGAAAACATCCGGATTGTGAATACGCAATGAAAGTGATTGTATGATACTGATATTATTGATCTATCCTACATTGGGACACGTTTTTAAATTTCTACGTTTAAAATACCTGCTGTTTCAATGCATTACCTTCACAAAGAGTAAAATAAAACTAGCTTTTATCCTGGAACACAATAGCTCTGCATATCTACATTTGCATCCTCAAACCAGGAAATATTGGCCCCAGCTTTCAAAAACTAATTTAGATTAAATTCCACGAACAACAGCTGTTTTTAAACTCCTCCAGTGTGGATGCTATCTCCCAGAAGAGGCCCAGTCTGGCAGGTGAGAGTAAGCACGGTACGGTGGTCCACGGGGCGGAGGTTGCAGAACGGGGGATGTGCTCAGTGTTTAGCATCGATCAGCGGGAGATGGAGGTCTGACTCGGAGCCCGGTGTTGTGTCGGCCGGCCCTAATTGATGTAATGAATGTGATTAGGTGCTATCTGAGGGATCACAGAGCCGGGCCGGGCCGCCCTTTTCTTTCCTCCTTATCTCCTGATGCTTCCTGGGCCCAGCAGAGTGGACCAATAATGCATCAGAGCCGGGAGGGGGGGGGGGGGGGGGAGATGGATTCGTGGGTCAGAAGATGGAGGAGCCGTCAGACTCACTCCATCAGCACAGTGGAGACGGAGGGGTTTGCAGAAGGGCTCACTCATAAAGCTGGACAGAATCTCAACCATGTCCATTGGTCCTTTTTCCATTTCAGAAGACTTCATTGATTGAGACAATGATGACTTTTGCAGTGAAATACAAGATAAACTTCTCAGGAGTGCTCCCATCTATAATTTAACCCAGGTCTCTCCTGATAGTTGACTTGTCTCACTTGCTCATGTTGGTGGTTGCAGCAGAGAACCAAGAGGAACCAGGAGACGGAGCACAGAGAATTATTCAGCAGCGCAACACTGGCATCGTGTGGAGGCATGAGGTCCTGCAGGAGAACAGTTCATTGATATGGGATCAATATTAATAATAATAATAAATATATATTTTACAATCTAGTTGTATTTAGTTGTTCCTGAGCTGTGTTTGATGTCTGTTCTGCAGCTTTAGTCGCCATGTGTCCTCTCTGCACATGCAAACTATATATATATATATATATATATATATATATATATATATATATACGTTTCTTTTTCATTAAGGTAATTTATGTTTGGCATCCATTATTTTGACTTTTTTCATTTTTGTCACAAAAACCCAGTTACAATATTCGCAAACATGAGGCAGCAAATTAATTTTAGTGCAATTCAATTACAAAATAAAACTCTATTCATCCATGTGAGTATCTCTCGCTATGTATCCCTACAAACTAAAAACATGACTGTGTGACAAAATATGTCAATAAAATAAAATGAAATGTTATCTGTAGTTGTAGTAGTGTGAAATCTACAGCGTCCAACTCATCGTGTTATGATGCATGTGTGTTCTGCACCGTGCTCACAGCCCTGGATGGAAACAAGACGGATGGTTAATGGTTAATTGTGGAACATCTCTGCTCTGCACAGGGCTCCACAGATTCTCTCAGCCTAGGGGCCTCATTAATAACAATGGCTTCATTTAAATTTCATTTTTTCATTTATTCCTTCTCAAAATAAACTTCCCTAATTATGTAGAAATCTGTCGATAAATGATCTGGACCCAGAAGTTTTTTCACATCATGTTCAAACTAGTTATTAATGCTGCGTGAGTTGCACTGTGAGGGCTGCTGATCCAGCCTCCAGTCCTGAAGGTGGCGGTAATGCAGCTATCAGCTGGTTTGCCAACCACCAATTAACACTACTACTACTACTACTACTACTACTAAAAGAAGAAGAAGAAGAAGAAGAAGAAGCGCCATCTCTGCCAGCCTCATGGTTTGAGGTTTTCTGGTTATTTTGGATTTGTTGTGAGTATCTTTCAGTGCACGTGGCTCTGACTTTCCTTCAGAAGTTATATTTAGTTTGTTCGTCTTGATTTCACAAAGTGTACTTTCCTCTGTTGAGCAGTATTTAGTTAGTCGTGTCAGGTTTTAGCTAGTTTCTGCTTGTTCATGTTTGGAGTGAATCCTCCTCCTGTGTCAGTAGCTGCTCATGGTGAGTATGAGTTTGAGGACCAGGGGCTGAATAACCATTTTAATTTAAATAAACACATTTTAAACACATCATCTATTCACCTGTTCACCCCCCCCCCCCCCCCTCCCCCACTGTGTCCAGAGACTGGAGGAGAGGGGATTTGTCAGGATGCAGAAATACAGCAGGCCCATTCTGCCTCTCTGTGGTGGCAGCCAACACTTCTCTTCTCTTCCCTCCATCACTCACAGTCACCCTGTAGAGGGCAGTGCGACACGACTAATGCGCTTCTGCTGCTTCCGTGTTCCTGCAACAAATCATCAGATGAGATTTTACCTTCGGTTTGTTCAGTAGATAAATGAAATCAACTCTTTTTCATTAGATTAGATTAGATTAGCGCACTGGAATGAAACCAGTGAGAGTTGGGAACTTGCCGTGCAGATGTTTTAACATCTTGTGTTTCAGTCGTTCATTAAAACATTTGAGCTCAGTGAGATGAAGGTTTGGATCTGAATTTTAAGAACAAGGAGAAAAATCTGGGTCTGATGAAAAAAGATTTTCAGTTCAACTGATTCCAGAATAACAACTGATTACACTTCATCCCTGACCAGCATCTTATTTCCTACAGAAAGCATCTTAAAGTGGAATTTGCATTGATAAAGAATTGATTTATTTCTGCAGGAAAATGAGGAACAGCTGGCGACCGAGTGGAGAAAACAGGACTGTCAGCACATCAGGTGAGAAATCACACGTTAGACTCTTTGTTATGAATATTCTCACAACGGTCAGTTCATCTCACAACCCTTCATCATATTTCTGATTACATGTTTGACCTGCACAGGCTTTACATCCTGGATTCAAAATGAACCTGTAGATTCAGGTTAAAGACACAAAATATGAAATGATAAAAATATTATAGTTACAGAGTCATATGTTCACAGGTTTATGAGCTTTATATGTTAGGATGAGGGTCCTCAGATAAATTCTGAATTTAATGGGAAGCTAATAAAACAGGTTGGACGTGATGCGGATGATCTCGCAAGTTGTTCCTTAACCTTTAGGATAATAATTCTCATCTTTACATCTGATCACGAAGGCCGTGGTTACAGGCTGTGATCACCTGTCGTCTGGTCGCCACGCGCTTTAACCTTTAGTATTTGGTCGTCACGTCTCGCTGTCTTCATGTTAAGTGTTAGTCTGCCCTTTGAAAAGTGATTCAACCACATGTTGCTCCCTGGCTCTGCTTTTTGTTCTCAGAGCACAAATTCTTACAAAACTCAAGGCAAGCAGCTCTCAGTAGTTATAATAATAATAAAAATAAGTCTATTTAATTAACAGGGAATGTTATTAGAGAAATATAAAGTCATTGTGAGGGCTCGTTGGGACTCAAAGATTCACTCGATAAAGACTTTTATAGAAGGCGTTCTCTGATATCCAACATTTTCCCACGTCCCCTTTATGAAGGAGGAAGGATGCTCTGCTAATGTTGTGATAAATGAATCCACAAAAGCAGGTGAAAGTGGAAAACGGAGCCGATACTGGCAGTGATGCGTCCGCCCGGAGGATGTCTGAGGCTTTTATGCAGCCTATTTCTGGTAATGGGTGAAAAGGGAGTGATAAGTAAAAAATGTTTCTCAGATTATCGAGAACGTCGTGAATTAGACTCTTGAAAGCCGGAGCCGAGTTCACTGTGGATAAAAATATTGTTATAAGCTGTTTTAAACCCCCATTTGCATAATCAATGTAATTCACGACCTGTAATGATTCTCAGCGAGTTACTGTTCTACTGCGGCCACTTGTCTTTAACTCGTCTCCTCTGAATTACACCCCTCAACCCACACTTTGGCCAATAAAGTGTCAAATAAATGGAAAAATCAAGGATGTAAATAGATTTAATCACAAAAATATCCTGGTTTGTTTAGTCTTCATTCACTGTTTTTCCAGTTTGAGCGTTAACTTTGTAAAGTGATCTCTTTTAATTCCCTTAAAACAAACTTTTGTTTTGTGAAAAGGTTCTTTGAAATGAATATTGTCATTTAATAGTTGTGATTCCTTCATGTTTGCCGTGATCATGATTTCATGAGCCGTCGGTTTTAATTTGCTGATCAACACGGAGAAGGTTTGTTTATGCCCTGTACAGCAGCTGCCCACCAGGGGGCAATGAGAGACGTCTCGGCCTCACTTTTCTCTTGACTTTCCGTCTTTATATAAATTCTAGCCATGTCGGTTTCAGATTCCTTCGCGACGTTGTATGATTTTGTTTTAAAACACACATGAAGTGAAGGCTTCAGAGTACGAGCTGTAAAACCGGGAGTCTCGCTGTAACGTGGACACCGTGTGACCTTCTGACCGGGCCTCTGTGACAGCACAGGAACCGGAGAGAAAGGTGTCCCGTTAATGAGGTGAGGTGAGAGATGACACCCAAAGACGGATCCTGCAGAGAGGGGAGGCGTCAATGAGCTGGATGGAAAGAGCGGAATTGGACGCCGAGCTGTCGATGGACACCTTGACGAGCTGTTGTCCGGTCCCCGTGCAGCCATAACAAGCTGCGGGGCCTCGCCCTTTCCTCCTCCCCATCCAGTTCCCCTTTGGCCTCGGCCGGGCCCGCTGTCTGGGTCCTGGGCGCCTGGAATCCCGGTAATAACGCTGGAATTGATTGTGGTGCCTGGGACGGCCAATTACTGCCTCCATAGCATCTAATGAGGGGCAATCGCTCTGGTGGCAATTACCGCGGCCGTACAGCGGCCCATAACTGAGGCGGAGAGCGTGCAAGCGAGACAAAGAGCATAACCGTTGCGGATTCATGTGAAAGTACCACCTCGCAGTTTAACTACGGTTTTATGGCAGTTATTATACATTTTTATAAATGAGTAGCATTGGGCTTTTATTCGCATGCTACGTTTTCTTCTATCATCATAGTGGACGGACATTTACGCTTTAGCTACGAGGCTATTTCACTAAATTTTAGTTGTGTGACGTCCGTCAAACTGTGCGATTGTGTAGTTAAATAGAAACTTGTTCAGCTGGTTCAACACATTTTCATTTTAGATTCTGTTATTTTGCAGAATAACGTTTGAATGAACATTAGAATTTTGAATGAAAAGAAGAAAGCAGTCTCCTTTAACCTCAGTAAAATATTCTCAGTATTTCGTCCACTCGCTGCACAAACACTGGCATTAATAGATTTTGACAGAGGAGCAAAATGCCCGTCGTCGGTTTAATTCAGCTCATGCGTTCCCTTCTCTTCTATCACCATCTCTCTGTGGTTGTTCGAGCCGTCTGCACATCTGACGTGACTCCGTCTTTATGATCTCGGTGCCTGTTTGGATGTCTGACTTTCTGAAACTATTCCTTTTACTCTCCCACACTCTTTTTTTTTTTATATCCTGTTGTGTATAGATCTTCTATCATCTCCCCTCTTTTCACTCGCTGCATCTCTGCCGCTGTGTAACTTTAATATCTGGGTTTAGAACAAGGACAGAGGCTGCAGCTCGGTGACAGTCAGACATGGGGGAGCAACACAAACACCCTTCAAAGCTCTTTTTCCTTTTTTTTTTTCATAGGGAGGGATGAGAGAGACACAGCCATGAGAGAGTCTGATTGAGGCTTTGGCGTGAGCATGCAAAAGGAAGCTGTGGGCCTGTAGCTTTCATTAGACTAACCACACACACACACACACACACAGGGACGTTGTTAGCTAAGAGTGAGAGCGAGGTGCGGAGAGAGGGGTGGAAAGGTTACAAGATAATCAACACTCCCTCTCCACCATAAACCCACACAATAAAGACTTGACATCAATATGCCAGCGCAGTCATCACCACAATGGTGCCTGGCACTGAAGGGGAAGAGGCTCCGCAGTCCATCCTCACTGATTAAACCATGATGAGTGTGTCTGTGTGTGTGTGTGTGTGTTGGAGAGTTTACTTTTAATTAGTAAAAAAAAGTTTTGTTTGTCTGTTTTATTCTGGCATGTGAGACACGGAGCACAATTAGGGTCTCAATAGAAGGATTTAATGGACCACTGCCGCTGAGTGGGTTATTTTTTAATGTGATGGGAAACATCAGAGCAACATCTGTTTGGAAATGTGTTCACGAGAGAGATCTGGAATCAGATTCATGTTCATGTTCAGGTATCGATCACCGTGTTCATATAACCCACGTATTTTAAAACGATGTGTACGGTGAACTAGAAACTTCATGAGATAAAGTCGTTCTGTTAGATTTTAATATATTTTAATTGGTCCCACTGTGGGGAAATTAAAAAATACAAATATCAGTAAAAGCAATAAGTAAATATGCAATAGAAACAAGGGAATATAAAACAGAGTATATACATATAAAATATTTCTATTTACCATCTTATTGTCCAGTAAAAGTCTTGTTGGGCTGCAGGTGCAGGAGAAATCTAGATAAATATATTCATATACCACAGCTACTTGACAGCAATTGAGACGTAATAAGTGCTTATTCTCACACAGTACTTAAGACGAATACATTTCTTCAGTGAAAACTATTTTTGACAACATTGTCTCCGTCGAGTGGGAAAAGTTGTTTCCTAGTAACGGCTGAAGAAGACGTCGAAAGCTTTGCTCTCAGCCAATCAGAGGCGTGTGTTCTCTGTGATTACTGATAATGTTCTTCACATCAGAAACCGATATCAACCGCTGAATTACTTCTGAATAACATTTCTAATCGAGTGTTTCAGTGACTCGTGATGTTGTGCAGAAATCTCGTGCAGCTATTTATAACGTTGGATCAGAAACCTGCTGTTGTGCAGAGCGACTCTCCGTATATTCACAGAACAAATGAGGAGCTGAGTTTAATTACATCACGGGACATATGTTCGTCCAGCAGTTACACCTGCTCAGGGCTTACAAGGGATTACAGAGTTATCACTTTGTTTTCCCGTCCGTCCACTGGACACTAATCAAATTCTCCCAGCATCCCTCTCTCCCAACCTTTCACCCCTCCCACAATCCTCGGCGTCGAGCGAGCGGCTCTTTGAAGCTATTAGCCGTCATCATTTAATATTTTATTATCAAGACGGAAGAAAGGAGATCAACCTGTGATGAAATATCTCAGAGTTGCTCCGTGAAGCTGCCTCACGCCTTTAGATGGCAGCAACACGCCACTCCATCACATGCGGGGCGGCAGGGAGAGGCGGAGGCAGACTCATGTGCAGAGCAACAAAAAAAAAAAACCCAAAAGAGGAATAGTTAGAGCTCATTATTTCTTTGATTCTTTAATTTTCCTCATGTCTTCATCCAAATCTTTGTTATAATAGTCTGTCTCTCCCAGTGAGATTAAAAAAAAAAAAACCTTTCAATAAGAAAAGATCCTAAAAACCAGAGCTGCGTCTCGTCTGAGTTTGATGTCTCCGTGTAATTGAACTTGATGAATGCTGCCGTTGTTTTTCCCGTGAATACGTTTTTGTCCTTTCAACCCCGTGTGACACATCTGGGCCGGCCGGTTTATTTTCGGAACGCGATCCGTTACCTGCCTGTCTGCCGACGAGCTCACGTTTGAATTGTCAATTATCTGTAATCGTGAGGAAGTTATACTTTGTTTTTTTATTTAGTTTTTTTTTTTTACTCTTGCAGTTGAAACTTGTCTTCTCTCCCTAATTCAGACGCTGATATTCAGTCATAGAAGCTTCTGAAGAGATATTTCTGCATTTCTGCAGATGTCAATATTTTCACATTTGACAATGAAGCGGAGGAAAATGTTGCATGAAGGC